AAAACAGTGGACTCAAAGTCCCGTTAAAGATTATTCTTCCAGGTCATTAATAAATTCCCGCGACCACATAGACTGAGACAAGTTGAGAGTTCCATAGCTCGCACTCAGAGTTTTGATACTCTACCAGTAAACCTTCCTCTCTCTCAAAAACTAAAAGATAATTTTCTAGAATTTAGAATTCCTGGAGTTCCCGGAGCATTTCTAGATTTAGGCAAAATAGTTATAGAATTTAGAGTGACTCTAACAGAGGCTGATGGGCAAAGTCCACTAGGGGAAACAAGCAACATTGCCCTCATCAATGGATTTTCCAACACGTTATTTAAAAGTGTCCAGTGTTTCCTGGGCGAGCAAATAACGGAAACAAATTCTAGTTTTAATTACTGGTCATTCATTAAACTCTGCAGCTCAGTAAAACGAAGCCAGTTGCCGAGTATCGCCCGACTGGGGTATCTCTTGCCCGACTTTAAAGGAGGAGAAGGTATAACTAAATTGTTCGATACAGCCTATTTCGCCCGCACATCGGCAAAAGAACCACAGATACTGACAAAGAATGATAAAGAACAGGGCATAACTCTGTGTTTTCCCTTGGCTCTGGACATATCCACTCTGGACCAATATCTGCTTGACAATATCGATTTAAAAAATTAGGCTGGAATTATCCCCTCAAGCGTGGACTCTGAAAACAGACGATGATGCCAGCACATACAGCTCCATATTAATTACGCTAAACTATGGCTTAATAGGGTATACCCATATACATCAGCTTATATGGCCTTGAACAAGTCTCTAGCCTTAGACGCAAAGCCGATAAATATATACTTTTAATCGCACTCTAAGTAAAAATTATGTGCTAGGTCACAATCAAATGAGCACCTAATAGATCAGCCATGGGTCATAGTAATTCCCGCCAAAATTTTCATGGTAATTTTGCCCATGACAGCCTATGCAGGAAAACATAAGGAGAATGGTCTATATTTGAGCATGGGGATCTAGCCAGTTTATCTGTATGTATTAATAATAATACAGTTTATCGCATAAGCAGTGATTTCCCCCATCATTATAGTAAATTATATTATGAGGCAATTAACTCTCTGGGCATTGAGGAAGAAAATTTAATTCTCTATGAATCATTCGCCTCCGGGCGAACCATCAATATTTTCAATTTAACCGACAGCCAAGTGGAAGACGCTCTCCCGATTGAAAAATCTGGTAACTTGAGAATTGAATTACAGTTCTCTAAGCCCGCCCCTCATAATAAGGTAGTTTTATTATTTGCTCAGACCACTGGTGTTTTATCCATCGACCAGAATAGATCTGTTCATTGTGATGTGCGAGCATAAATAAAAAATGAATTGCGCAGAAATAAATAATAGTTTAATTCCCGCCCTAGGAAATAAAGTCACATATATTGGCTGTTTCACTATAGACGCTCTACAGCAAATAAGATTAGATGACTATCCCTCAGACAGGCCCATAGTGCTTGTAAGTAATATTCTTCCTTCGTACAGCTCAAAAGTAATGGGTCATTTTTTTTTCTCTTCTTTGGACAAGAAAAATAGTCTATCCTTCCTCTTTGACAGTTACGGGAAAAAACAGAGAAATTATGGCATAAATTTAAAAAAATTTTTTAAACTAAATAAAATTAAATATTTATATCGTTTATCTGGCAGAACACAAAGTGATTTTTCACTCACTTGCGGTCTATATGTTATGAGTTTATTCATAAAACAAGCCTTGTGGGATTAGAAAGAGCTTTATATTTTTTAAAAAAAAAATTCTCGAAAAATCGCTTTTTATCAATGACAGATTAGTGATAGCATATGCTAGAGAGAATTTTAAAATGTTACCTCCTTGTGAAAATACATTTTGCCTAAGTAGACAAGGTTATCTTTGTGCTTCCCTCTGTGAGGAAGGTCACCTCTGACGAGAGTATCCCCCAAATACCCCTCCTGGCTGGTAAGGCCCTCTCTGAGCTGTATATAAGAGCCCGCTGAAGCTGTCTTCCCCGCAAAAGATAGAGGCTGACCTCTCCATAGCCTTTTACTCTCATCATGGTGAAGGAAGCAGACATTCTCGATTCTGGTAAGCGAGACATTTTATTTTGCTAAAAACTTCTCTTTGAATATTAACGAAACAAACGAGTGCAAGAGACTTATAATAATTTTAAAGTTGAGTCTCTTTTTTCAACAGTTTTCACTGCACCAGTCAGAATTTGTAAAGTTTTTGATTTTATCGGCTGGTAGATTGGATACTTCTCTTTGAATATTAACGAAACAAAACGAGCGCAAGAGACTTATAATAATTTTAAAGTTGAGTCTCCTTTTTTTTTCTTCAACAGTTTTCACTGGGCCAGTCAGAATTTGTAAAGTTTTGATTTTATCGGCTGGTAGATTGGAAGGGAAGGAACACACCGGCTTCAAACTCCTAAAGCGGTGTCATTGTGATGATAGCAGGAAACGCAAACATAGACTTCCTCAGGAAAGGGTATGTCTTTCTATGTTCCCTCCTTTGGTAGATTAGAGACGAGTCCCACTCCTTTTATTTGAAAGTGATAAATATGTTCTCTTTATGACTTACAGCCTGTGGAAGATGGGATCAGTTCATCTGATATAGAGGAGCCTATGAAGAAAGAACCAGATCTCGACAACGATGAAACGCAGAGCCTTCCCTCATGTCAGTCTGATGACCTCGTTGTGGACCTCTCTGCGCTCGATACTGCTCAATCTGATGACTCTGTTGAGGTCACTGCCGCAGCAGGTGCTGAACAAACTGGCGACCTTGAAGCGCACCCTGACAGTCAGTCGGAGAAGGAAGGGAAAACCCCCGACGTGAGAGTAAAGCCAGCAGAAGGGGTAAAGACGGCAGATGGAGTAAAGGCAGATGATGATGTACCTGAAAAGGAAATCATTTTCGAGCGGGAGGTTATCAATCTTACAGAAAGTGAACAGGAGGAGCGCAGTCATTCAGTCTAACCAGTAAAACTCGCACAGTTTCGCCCCTTTGCTCGCGCTAAAAAACTTTGCACAGCTTTTTTGCCCTTTTGTATGTGAATTAATAAAAATATTGACAAACTCTGATTTTTATTTACATATAACTATATATTACTATCTTCTCTAGTCTAAACATATATATATATATA